CATAAATGAAACTTACACCTTCACCTCCTTGCATGTATTCATTAATTCCTCCACAATATTAACCAACCTTTATTCAAAAGAAAGTAGAACTCGTGGAAGCAGTTTCTTCCAAAAGGAGCTTCACTCATCAGTTTCTAATGCTTTTCTGAATTCGATTCCCACCTGGGTGGCTAGTGGTTTCTGCACCTTGGCTTGTGCTCAGGTAGTTACTCGTGCTGCCACCTGTGCCTCAGGCATGAATGGTTTTGTTACACTGGGTCAGGTGCTATTGTACTGGGGCATTCTGGATAATGCATCTGCCAGAAAATTCTTTCCCCCAGGTAGATGTTTTATGGTGAAATTGAATTGGTGGAAATGCTGCGACCACCAGGCATATTTAGGGGTAAGTTTTCTTGGTGTTTGTAGTAATCAGTCCTTAGTCATTGAAGGGTGCAAAGAAATGGCCACCCGCAAGGAGCCTTTATTTGTTTATATAGAGTTTTACAAATAGCAAAAGTTACTGCATGGCAATAGCATTTCATTGGCTAAAATCCTTTACCAATCCTCAAGAGTAAAAAGCTAGAGGCCATAAACAGGGAAACTTGTTGTTCACCAGCCAGCCTTATCAAACTGGCCAAGGTCACACAGACCTGCGTACTTTCACATCACTATGGTGATTTGAGGGGGGGGGAGATAGATACAGAGAAGAGACACAAGCGTTGGGGGTCAGTATTCTGCGCACGACCTTTGCCTGTCTCTCACCTCTACATCTCACTCCTTTTTGTTTTGTTAGACGAAATATCGCTGTAAGCGGGGTTAATAAAAGGATTATAATCAGGAGAGGAGCATCCTTGCAGTTGTTAATATAAGGCCAAAACTTGACCCTGAGGCAATGGGAGAGAGGATCTACTGGGATTTAAAGCTCTAATACATATATTGCAAAATGAAAGAAATACATTACATAAACAGCATCCACAAAGGTCCTAAGGTACCAATTTTCAAATCAGAGGCCAATTGCGTAAAATATAAATCTGCTGCTGGATGATTCATGAATTATCAGAAATATTGAAACAATACATTTCCTCAAAACGTTTACAACCCAAACGCTGGTGCAGAAGCAAATAATCAATTGCAGCGTGATTTTGCAAAATAGCTTTTCTCAAATTTTGCAGTTCATAGTTGATTGCTGAAATAGTTGAAGAAGTAGTATTAATTGTTTTTGCCAAATTTCATGTAATAGCATTAATGTTGAGGTGAGCACGAACAGCAAGTCCTGGTACGCCCACTAGAGATATAGCCAATGCTACAAAGTAAGGTTTTCTCAGAGTCACAAGTGTTGTCTAATGTAACACCACGTGGAGAATGGTTCATGTGAACTTGTTGTTTGGAAAGCAAAACAGGAATCAGCTGGCTGAGGCAACATTGCGCTTCACTAATATTAGCAGGAATACAATTTAAAGTTTCTTGACCATGCGTAAAAAACCCTCCTTGCAATAGCCAAGCATGTCCAAAATGAAAGGAAGTCTCTATTGAAGCTGTGCAATTTAAAGCAGGTGAGCCAATGCGATGACTGTGAGGTTTTTTAAGCAGTAACCCCCAGAGTCAGTGAAGTTTTGAATTACTGCAGAAGGGGTGCAAACAAAGACTAAACATGTAGAAAGCAAATTTTCCATGTCATACATTTCAGATAAACAAAAGAAGTCATTTTGTGTGATGTTAGATTTTGCTTCATTCGTTGTTCGAATGATTGTTTGAATGGGATGACAGTTACAGTTGTCAAAGGACAGATGTTAATGATCAGACATAAACAAATGATGGATAAGAAATTTGCAGTTAAAACCGCAAAAATGGCAGCACACAGGTTCTTGGGGATCAAATTCTTTACATCTCCCCACGTCACTGGCTGCCTGGCATGTCAGAATTAGATTACTTGCTGTGCCATCTGTAGAGTCACCCTTGCTATTTCTGGGACTGGGTCCAGGGACTAGTGGCACGACATCCCTGGCTGGGTGATCACAATGTGCTGGAATCACAAAGGTCCTGTTGGAGCAAGCACAGCAGTGTAGCTCCGCCCCCAAGTGATCAGAGGGACTGGTCCCAAGCATGCATTGTCTGGCAATGCCCGATAATATACCAGAGGTGGAGGCAAGCTTGTTTTCTGTTGTAAGTGTCTCTGATAAGCAGTCAAATTTGGAATGGAAATATTCAATTGGTGTAATGTAAATAATACTTTTTGAACCTGTTGTATTACCCACGACAAATTGGGTACCCTAGATAACCCATCCTTTTTTATTTGTTTGTGAAGGCAGTCCTTGAAAGACCAATTAGCACGTTCCACGATAGCTTGACCCGTGGAATTATAGAGAAGACCATGAGTAAAAACAATATTTCAGATTGTATAAAATTGTAAAAAGGCCACTGGAAAATAGGCTGGCCCATTGTCAGTTTTTAGGGAAGAGGGTTTACCCAGGGCTGTAACAGCCAAAAAAAGATGAAAAATAACATGTGAAGCTGTTTCCCCTTGTAGAGGTGGGGGAAATTGTTCCTAAATACCTATTTATGAATATACATTTCTAGGAAGCCAAAAAGAGAGAACATGGATAACATCCATTTGTCATAGTTGATTAGAGGCAAAACCACATAAAAGACATAAAAAAGACATAAAAAAAATTAGGCCCAGGAAGGGAGGAGTGATTGTGTATATGAGAAACAAAATTATAAATGTTTTCAGTTCTGGAGCAGCTGCTGCAAAGTTAAAAACAAAGTCATAAGGTTGGGGTCAATCCTCGGCATGATGTAAGCACCTGAAGAAGTAAAAGTAAGTTGGCACACATAATGAGAGTCAGAGATTAAGTTAAAAGCCTGTTGAGAAAAGGTTTTAAAAGCTAAAATAATTCTGATTGTGATAAGGGTTGCATTGTAGTGTAAGACACTTTCCAGGTATCGTCCTTGTAAGCAATTGCTCCTCTCATTCACCCTCCATCAGAAAAAGCAATAACTTGTGGCAAGGGAGAAAGAGGAAGAAAGCAGTGGCTGGACTGGAAAGGAAAAAGTCATTAAACAAGCAAGTCAAAGATCATTAGGCAAATAATATGAAATACAGCCTATATAGTCAGTTAAAACACATTAAAGAGATAAGTTATTTTTGAAAACAATATTAATTAAATCAGTTCCTTTTGAAGGGCAAGCTCTTGTGCATCCTAAGGTTATCATTTTAGCAACCACCTGGATAAAAAATAAACATTTTGGGATGGGATTTGGGATTCTGTCCACAAATTGAGTATTCATGATGTCATCAATTTGTGCAACTATATTTTTTCTGGGACTTATTGCAATCCTAAATCATTTTATATTTTCTGAAAGCCAATTAAATTGTATCTTTGATGCTTCAATTTAAGCAAAGTCCATTCAGATGGAAACAATTTTTATATAAATAGGTTAAACATTTATAAATCTATAACAAAGTAATTCAGTTAGTTCTTATGGTTTTTGGATATAAAAAATATTGTCCAACATTTACTGTTTCTCTTTTGAGTAAAAAATTTATTTGCCAAAACTGCATAGGTGAATGTCAAATTTCAGATTCACTCCACTCTTCTCAGATTACAATTCCAAGCAGAGGAAAAAAATAATTTAAACAAACAGTTCCCCCCCCCCCTTCCTGTCTCTGGCTCTTTAAGCAACGCAGCCAGCCGAAAGAGACAGGGGGGAAAAAAATCTCACCACCAAAAAATAGTTTCATCTCCTTCATATGCATTTTTCAATAAATTCTCTCATACATTCTCCATGAAATTCTTCTCATACAAATATTTACTATTATTTTCACAGTTTGGGAGAAAATGGGTGGGTTTTGAAGGCTAACACACACTTCAACAAATTAACTCATTCAGTTCCATACTGACTGTTTGCATAAAACCATTCCACATACAATTATTTCATTTCATACTTTCTCCAGGCAAACCATATATTCTTAGCAAGGCCTTTTTGTATTGTTATTATCAGAGAGGGCTTTGAGCCTCTTCCAAGTCTTGGAATAACACAGAACAACACAGACAAACGTATATACACAAATACTGTTACAACAACATTTATTTAGACATATAACTTGCTTTGCAAGAAACGAGAAAAATGACAAGGTGATTTCAACCAAAAAGTGGTTTTGAGGGCCCTTAATCATCTCCCATTTTTCTCACCATTCCAAGCCCAAGCATAATGTTCTGAGTGGCCACACACACACACATAACACAAAACACAACCAGACATTGGTCTGACAGTGTTAAACTTAACAGATTGCAGAGTTTCAAAGCATTCCGATTGCTCAAAAGACTTCACTCTGAGGGAGTACATTTGGATTTATGTCTCCAACTAATCAGCAAATGAATTAGCCTCCTCAGAAGAACCTGAAAATCCAATTAAAGATGTTTTTAGAAGGAATAAATTAGAAGGAATAAATTTTACTTAGTTGCAAGCAGAAGGGGGCTGATAGTTAATTGCTGCCCTTCTGAAGTATATGGGTCCATTTTTTTTCCTTTCCTGACAGGACTGAACACTATAGATGTAATACTGGAGCCCAAGGTTCAAGATGTAATTTATGCTCTATCTTTTAGCCTAAGCGTCAGATGCTCAAGATTCGAAGAACACTGTTTTCCTATCTCCCCAATCAGCTTTCTTATGTCCGTTTCAAGCGTTACCACACCTGACTTCTGTAGCAGGAGTCTGAACTCCTGTATGTGCTTTTGCTGAGGGTGAGATAATTTACAGCCCATACTTACTCACTGAGGGGTCTCGTAAGACGAAAGTGCACCTAGGAGTCTGTTCCAGACAATGATAAGTATGTTGGTGGCTGCTTCTTCCCGGAGGGGTCCCAAATGTCCCTGTTAACGAGTGTCAGCAGTAATCAGTCTTTAGTCATTGAAGGGTGCAAAGAAATGGCCGCCCGCAAGGAGCCTTTATTTGTTTATATTTCAAATAGCAAAAGTTACTGCATGGCAATAGCATTTCATTGAAAATCCTTTACCAATCCTCAAGAGTAAAAAGCTAGAGGCCATAAACAGGGAAACTTGTTGTTCACAGCCAGCCTTATCAAACTGGCCAAGGTCACACAGACCTGTGTACTTTCACATCACTATGGTGACATGAGGGGGGGAAGATAGATACAGAGAAGAGACACAAGCGTTGGGGGGCAGTATTCTGCGCACGACCTTTGCCTGTCTCTCACCTCTACAGGTGTTTTTAATGCTTCCAGATTCTTATGGTCTGTCCTCACCTGGAAGGGGATTTTGTTCCCCTCCAGGAAATGCCACCAGGTGAGAAGGGGCATTGCCTTACCTGAACGCCTTTTCTCAGCATGATGATGGAGAATCCACGGATGGGTTGTCTTAATCTTCCTGCTCCAATAAGACTAAGTCTGAAGCATAGGACCGCCTCTGCTGTGCCATTTCTACCCCAGTTTAGACTAAGGCGATACTCAGACTTTAATCCAATGCGTCTGCTTTCCTGATATCGGAACCAGGGCCAACTGACCTTAATGGGAGGGAGTGGATTCTCCATCATCATGCTGAGAAAAGGCGTTCAGGTAAGACAACGCCCCTTCTCCAGCATGATTGGATGGAGAATCCACGGATGGGACATACCAAAGCCCTGTGTACCTACGGGGGGGAAGCAGTTTGGGCCTGGGTCCCGTCAGATGTTAATGTGTGTTCTAATACCCTGCAACCAAATGAGGCAGTAGAGGAGGCATATTTGTCCATCTTATAGTGATGGACAAAGGAAGAGGGTGAGGACCATGTCGCTGCTCTACAAATCTCCTCTATGCAAGCCTGGGTCACCCAAACAGCTGAAGTAGCTGCACCCCGGGTGGAATGGGCTGTGATATGTCTAGGAGCTTGCAGTGACCGAGTCTGGTATGCCAGAGAAATACAAGCTCTAATCCATCTGCCTATTGTGGATGAAGAAACCTTTTGTCCTAATGACGAAGGGTGAAAGGACACAAACAGAGCCTCAGATTTGAGGACACAAACAGAGGATGAGGTTCTCTGTATGTAACAATGCAGGGCCCTGTGCACGTCCAGCTTGTTCCACTGCATCTCTATGTCATTGGATGGGTTAGGACAGAAGTCCGGTAAAATTATTTCTTGTGATCTATGATACAAGGAATTTACCTTGGGCACGAAGGAGGGATCTAGTCTAAGGGTTACCCTGTCATTATGGAAAATACACAGGTCTTTTCGCACTGAAAGAGCATGCAGCTCAGAAATTCTTTTGGCCGAAGTTACAGCAACAAGGAATGCCACTTTCATCGATAACTGTTTAAACAAACAAGTGTCAATAGGCTCAAATAGCGAAGAAACGAGTGCCTGTAAAACCTGGTGAAGATCCCACGAGGGGTATCGGTGTACGGTTGGTGGCCTGGCATTGTTTGCTCCCTTTAGGAAGGAGCGTACCATGGGGTGATGTGCCAGGGGAACGTCATTGCCGCAAGTAATTACCATGGCAAGTGCTGCTACCTGTCTATGGATGGTGTTTGTGGAAAGCCCCTTGTCCAACCCATCCATCAGGAACTCCAATATAATTGGCACGGAGATAGCCAAGAGGTCAATTTTGTGATCTGAACACCAATTACAGAAGCTCCTCCAGGTGGCATCATATATTCTATTTGTCGAGGGTCACCTGGATTGTTGAATCATCGCTATGACCCTTGACGAATATGAGTCTCGGCCTAAGGCCTGCCTCTCAAGTGCCAAATGGTTAACTGGAGCCACTGAGGGTCCGGATGATGTAGTTCCCCCTGAATGAGGGAGATACAACCTGCTGGGATCCTCAACGGAGGGGAGATGGAGAGCTCCATCAGGTCGGTGAACCATGGACATCTCAGCCAATGTGGTGCAACCAGGAGGACCTCTGCCTGTTTGTGAAGAATCTTCCGGATCGTGGTGGGAAGAAGTGATAAGGGAGGGAAGGCATAGAGCAGTTCCCTGGGCCAGGGACTGCGGAGCGCATCTGTCCCTTCCGCTGATGGAGACGGGAACCTGGAAAGGAATCTCGGGAGTTGGGAGTTGGTTGTGGAGGCAAAAAGGTCTAGGGTTGGAGAGCCAAACCTGTCCACGATCTCTCTGAACATTTTCGGGTCCAGTTGCCATTCGGCATGGTCCACAGTGGCTCTGCTCAGTGAGTCCGCCTGTTGATTGGTCACTCCGGATATGTGCTCTGCCCTGATGGAAGCAAGATTCAATTCCGCCCAAGACCCCAGCAACCGGGCCTCCTGCATGAGAGGCCTGGACCTTGTTCCCCCCTGTCTGTTGACATGGGCCTTGGCTGCAACGTTGTCAGTAAGAACCAGGACATGCCAACCTTGTACTATGCTGCTGAATTTCTTTAGGGCCATATGTATGGCTCTGAGTTCCAGCCAGTTTATATTGTTTTTTAGATCCTTTTTGGACCACCGACCTTGAGCCCAGTGTGACTGGAGGTGTGCCCCCCACCCAAATAGGCTGGCGTCCATGGTGAGGGTGATCCTGGCTGGCTCTTTGAATTCTGTTCCCCGTGACAGTGCTGGGGAGTCCCACCAACGAAGGGAGTTCAACGCCGACCGTGGAACTTGGACCTTCTGGTGGGATGCACTGGTGTGAAGCCTCTGAAATGCAAGGAGAAGCCACTGTAATTCTCTGGCATGGAGACGTGCCCATGGCACAATTCGCATGAAGGACACCATCTTCCCCAGGAGCTGTGACTACCTTGTCCCTTCGGATCCGACGTACAAGGGCCTGAATGGAGTCCCATCGGTCCTGTGATAGGTAGACCGTACAATCATTTGTGTCTATAATGGCACCCAGATGGAGGAGCCGAGTTGTTGGTATGGTATGGCTTTTCTGGAAATTTACAGAAAACCCATGCTCCTGAAATGTCTTGATGGCTAGGGCGAGGTCTGACTGAGCACTCTGGAATGAGGATGACTGTATTAATATATCATCTAGGTAGCATTGAACCCTGATTGGAAATTGTCTAAGGTGGGCTGCCAGCACTGCCAGTACCTTTGTAAATACTCTGGGTGCTGAAGAGAGGCCAAATGGTAAGGCTCTGTACTGGTACTGGCGTTGGGCATAGCTGAACCTGAGGAATTTGCAGTGGTCAGGAAGAATAGGAATATGCAAATATGCCTCAGTCAGGTCTATTGATGTAAGGAAGTCCCCTTGTCTGATGCTGGCCAGGATTGACTGCAGTGACTGCATCTTAAACTTCCTATACATCAGGTAAAAGTTTAGACTTTTAAGTCTAAGATTGCCCTCCAGCCCCCCGAAGACTTGTGAATGACGAAGAGGTTTGAGTAGAACCCTCGTCTTTTTTGGTCTTGTGGTACCGGTTCAATGGCTTGTATTTGTAACAGGTGAGCCATGGCCTCTGACATGAGAGCTGGTCTAGTCCTGCTTGTGGGAATAGGGCAAGAGCGGAACCTGTCAGGTGGGCTGGACCGAAACTCCAGCCTCAGACCTTGAGTGATGGTGTCTAATACCCATGAGTCTGTAGTAGTGGCTGCCCAGGTGTTGGAATAAAGGGTCAGCAAGCCTCCTATGGGAAGTGAGTCTGTGAGATCACTTGCCTCATTTAAAGGACCGTCCCCCCGCGCCTCGAAAGGCCTGCTTGGTCTGGGTCTGTGGTCAATTCCTGTATGCCGAACGGTCCTGCTGCCGCTCTTGTCTCTGGAAGGAAGTGCGAGATGTCTGGGCCCAGTCCCAGGATGAAGCTGGCCGAAAGGGCTGCCTACAGTAACTGCCCTGCGATAGACCAGCCCCCAAACGCTTATCTCCTTTTCTTGTTGTGTTAACGAGAGTCTTGCATTTCTCCTTACCTTCTACTACAGTGGTTCTCAACCTGTGGGTCGGGACCCCATTTGGGGTCGAACGACCATTTCATGGGGGTCGCCAAACAATGCAGTCCACCATTTTTCCCCCTTTTCCTTAGCTGTGCTACTCCCTTTTATTCTATTGGCTTTTGAAAGCCAATAGAATAGATTCTCTTGAATAGAGTCTAATTCTATTGGCTTTCAAAAGCCAATAGGAATTGTCCAGGCTGTCTCTGCCCTGCTGAGCCCGCCAAAAGTCCCATTCTGCAAATGGTGCTGCACCAATTGAGTAGTCCTCAACTTACGACCGGTTGAGTAGTCCTCGACTTACGACCAGTTGGGGGTCGCGGCATTAAAAAGGTTGAGAACCACTGTTCTACTAGGTAAGGATCGAGGACCTTCCCGAAAAGATGTCCACCTGTACAAGGTTTAGAGGTGAGACGCCACTTGGCCTTGGTGTCTGCACGCCAATTCCTGAGTCTGCATGCTGAAATATCTGCAGCGATGGTCCGAGCAGTGTATCTGGCCGTGTGTAAGGAGGCGTCAGCCAGATACTGGGATGCAGCCACCAACTTACCCAGATTTTGGTGAACTCTGATCTGGTCCGGAGGAATCATGTCCTGGAGTTCACGTAGCCATAGGACTGAGGCCCGGGCACAGAAGGCCATGGATGTTGATGCCTTGGTTGCCCAGGCTGATGCCAGATGGGACCTACGTAGGGCAGCCTCAATTTTTTTATCCTCTGCCTTAAGTGCCTCGTTTACGTCCCCTGGAATGCTAGCATTGGGGAGCAGTGAATTTAGAGGTTCATCAACCTGCGGAATTTCCAATAAGGAGGCCAGGGAAGGAGCCACATTGAACAAGATTTTTTCTATGGCTCCAGGATTGGAAACAGATCCTAAATTGTCCCATTGCTTCTGTACTGTGTTAAGAAAAAATGGAGGGCAGGGAATATGATTTTGAGAGACCACCAGTTCAGCATACAGGGGATTAGGACCCTTGGATGAAGTTGTAGGTGGGGTCTCCTGTTCCTGAGTAAGATTGGCAGTTGTGCAGGCCTTGAGCAATAGAGAGTTAAAAAGGGAATGGTCAAAGAGACCAACAGGAGGAACAGAGTCAGACATGATCAGGCCTGATGGTTCGGCACCTGCTGATTCTGAGTCAGATGAGACATCATCAATGAGACCTGGTGATTGGGAGTGAGGTAGGGACTGTGGGGGTGCTGTGGGTGGCTGTGTAGTGGAAAAGGCCATGAACTGAGCCACGGCTTGGGCTATCATGGCCTGAAGCTGCTTAGGACTCAATGCTTGAGCTTCGGGAGAGCAGAGGCCTGCTGCAGTGGGAGTGAAGGTAGCCTGAGGTCCCAATGGAACAGTGTCCTGACCGGTTGCCCCCTGTGCCCCTGGAACTGCCCTTGCGATGCCTAATTCAGTTTGGGAACTTCCCCTGGGGCTGAGGCACAGTGTGAGGAAAGGGGCTCAAAGATGGACCTTCCTACTGTGCTGGTACCTGTCTGGCTGGGGAGACTGACCTCAATCTGTGGGATTCCTCCTGCAATATATGCTGACTGGTGGTCTCCTTGTTTGATTTGGCTCGTTTTGAGACACTTCTCCCCCCCCCCCCGCCTCTGTAGTGTGCTTCCTTTTGGCGGGTTCAATGGAAGATTTTTCTGCCATGGTGATGAACTGGCAAGCTGCTATAAGGCTCTCTGAGGGCTCAACTTCAGCGAAAAGCACCCCCTCTCAGCGTTGTAATTTTGCTGAAGGAGCCCAGTCGGATGACAGTCAGGCCCAGGTGAGGGGGGGCAGTGGGGGGTCAATTGATAGGCAATGCGTTCTTACGGAACGAGCTTGTCCTCCCCAAGTTCAGCCGGAATGTTTGCAGTCAGTCAAGCAATGGTGGCTGATTCAAATGGAAGCCACAACAGTTACTCAAAATGGCGGCCACAGCTCCACGCACACCAGAATTGCCATTTAGAATGTTCCTGCAAGCAGTTAAGTAATGGTGGCTGACTCAAAATGACGGCCGCAACTGACTCAAAATGGCGGCCGCAACTATATGCGCGCCAAAATTTCCGTTAGGGAAGCCTCAGAGGTAGCGAGCTACCTAGCAGAGGCCTAGGAGGCCTAAGGCACTCAATTTGCAATGAGCCCTCATTCCGAGGAAACACCTGGGCTCCTATTGCAGGCTGAAGGCAATTGCACTGATCAGCTGGGCGGCGGTAATATTAGAGGAGGCAGCAGTCAACTCACAATGTTCCCGATGGAACGGAAAGGCCGAGGTCTCTAAGCAAGGCCTCCAGGCCTGAGCGAATCCTGTACTTCGCTTTCGGATCCCCCCTTCGCTCTGACGACCGGTGTGGCTGAGGGTCCTTGAAAGGATCCCTCTAGGCCTGTGCGACGTCCGTCACTCGCTTACGGATCCCCCCGACGATCAGTGGAGCTTACCCTCGCCTCCGGATTCCCCTGGAGATCAGCGGAGCTTGCCTTCATAATCAGAAGCCTCCGACGATCAGCTGGCTGGTGGGGATCGCCTCAGCGGCAAGTCAAAGCTTTGGTGCTGAAGTCCTCAGGAAGGTGAGTAAAGCCTCTGGGGGATCGTAATTGAAAGAAGAGGGCACGTAGGAACGTGTGGAGCCTGCCAGCCTGGCCGGGCAGGCAGTCTTGGAGAAGAAAAAACTAGCTTTATCTCCAAGGATGATCAGAATAATATAAATCAAAAGGGAAAGGAATAAGAACAACTATTGTAATAACTACTGTAATCTTCTGCTCCAGGAGCTGCAGAAAAACGCATCCTTAGAGCAAAGAGACTAAGTCTAAACTGAGGTGCAAATGGCACAGCAGAGGCGGTCCTACGCTTCAGACTTAGTCTTATTGGAGCAGGAAGATTAAGACAACCCATCCGTGGATTCTCCATCCAATCATGCTGGAGAAATGCCCATCTTACTGCATACGCCTCCTTTTCCCAGACCACCCACCTTTGTTCAGTTTCGGTGAGTTTCCCTGAATGTATGTGCAGGGCTGTAAGACCCCTTTATCGTTTTCCTGTAGTAATATGGCCCCTTCTGCTACATCACTAGCATCTGCTTGAATTACAAAAGGCTTGTTGGTGTTGGGGTGCCGC